TGGGACCGGCCGCTCGGGCAGCCCGGCGCCGTCGGACACAGGCTGGATGGTGGTCCCTGCGGAGGGGCGCCCGCTCCGCTCCTCCAGCACTCCCCTGCTCCGGTAGCTGTAATTTCTCTTTGAATTACAGCACTGCCTAGATAATTTAATCTAGATCCGAAGAGTTAAAACGGCAGTGAACTGTGTTGTAAGTTATTCTAGTGGTTAATTATAAGCGGTGCTGAATACACGTGCTGTACCTCTAGTCTGATTTGCCAAACTTTGTCTCCCGATTGCAACTTTTCTTGGAGGACTAAAGAACAACCAGCTCCTAAACTGGTAATGGGTATTTGTAGTTTGATCAAAATAACTTTTTAACCTTCCTTCAACCACGATAGAGTTTTTGGTTTTTTTTTACATTTTACAATCTTTACATATTTTTTCCATTCCCTTTCCAATTCTTGTATTATTTTGTAAAATCTACAGCTAGATGCCATATTACAATCACGGTTTCATTGCCCATCTCAACACACAGACAATAACACTCACTTTTACATGCTTATGTCAGACCTTTCATTATTGCACTGAAACCAGTGTCTTTCCTGTCAGTTGTTCAAGCAATCAGGACCCCTGAAATGTTGGATATAGACTTTTTTGGGGGGGAGGGGGGTGGGTGGTGTTTTGTTTTGCTCTTCTTTTTGGCATTATTTTATTCCAGGATATGGCCCCTATAGGATCCCATTGAGGCCTACACTGCAAGGATAAGGAAGGAGAGATAAAACCAAAGTTTTTTTAATGGGACTTTCCAAGAACTTGTTCTTGGTCACATCACCTTACTATCAGAGAGCAGCTGGTAGGGTTTTTTGTAGTGAATGGTATTTTCATCAATGAGATAAAAGTTTTTTTCACGTGCATACTGAAGGATAATTCTACTTTTGCATTAAAATGCTCTGATTATTGTATCATTCCTCTTTTATCAGAAGTAGAGAATCATACATGGTCTGATTTCAAAAGACAAAAAGCATGCACAGACAGATCACATTTGTTTTTGTTATGCTCTCATTAATCCACGCTCTATGAAATGTTTGTGTTGGCACTGAAGTTAGGGTAGCGTGGGATAAACGTGGAAGCACATCAGTTTAAGGTTGGATATTGATACGCCTTTGTGCAACTACATGCAGAATACCAGAAATGGTATGTTAGCCCAGTCAAAACTGTGCACGGTGCTTGAAGAGGCAGAAAGGATCATGGTACAAACTTGACAAACCAGAAGAAAGCAAGGTTTCCAGCTCGAGAGCTTGCATGCTGCAAAGGGATGAAAGTTGTTGGAGGCTTGCTGTGTGACCGTGACTTCATGCTGATCGATACCCAGTAGCTTCTGATGGGATGCACTGTGGTGCGCTGCCAGCCAGGCTGCCCGTCCCTGCCCCTTCCATCCTGCCAACACAGTGGACCACAGCTACCACTGTGTTTCACAACAGAGATGCACTAGAACATGAGCGAAATAGAATCTGTGGCAACCAGAAATGTTGTCAATGACCCCGAGAAGTCTTGGTAATGTACAAGTCATAATAGAAACCCCATTTATTTGGGATAGATTTAAGTTTTGGGGTTTTTTGGTTTGGTTTTTTTTTTAGATTTTGTTGCTATTGTCATCAACTGGGTCAAAGCAATTTTCCTATTACTCATGGAGTCACGTTGCTAATTACTGTTACTCTATTTTCATACTGTCACTTATACTGTATTTGTTTACCGACTCTTCCGGTTAATAAGTCACACCTATTAGAACGTTTTAATAGTGTTCAACAGCAGTTTAATGAAACTTCCAGTCGAACAGTATCCTATCCAGCATACCATTGGATATGACAATGAAAACAGTATCCAGGGAGCAATATGAATTACATTTCATGTTTGTTCTTCATGAGACTGACTGATGCAATGTGTTAGTGCACTTGATGTTGGATTAGTGCAGTTGACAGGTTTTTCTCTGAAGGAAGGAAAGTAATCTTAAAACCATTGAAAAATCAAGTGAAACTGAAATGTTCAGACTACAGTTGCTTATATCAGAAAGCGGGCAAAGATGAGAAGTGAAAAAACCTCTATGAAATGATGAAGTACGGAATGCAAGTCAGGAGTTCTACTTCCTACGAATTGTAGTAAAAGTTCAAAGGAGAACATCTAGTGAAATAAGGGTGGGAGGGGGAGAAATCTGATGGAAGGAAATACTTTTATTGCAGGGGAGTTAGGTTGTCCAGTTAATTGCCATGGCATATGACTAAGAGAATATACCAGTAACTGATTGGAAGTTAATATGGATTACGATGGCGTAGTGATTTTTTTTTTTTAAAAAGATATTTAAAATTCCCTTTAGTTATTTAAATAAAAACTTATGTGGCAGTGCAGACCTGTCATATTTGCTTTTTGTAGTGTTCCTTTTTTTTTAGCTGAAGAATTAGGTGACTGGTATAAGTCGCATGTGACACGGCATTTTTCTTCTTACTGATGAATTCTTTTGTCAACTGGAGCTGTGCAGGGGCAGGGAGAAGCATTTGCTTTTCAAATACACTTTCTCAAACAAGGTTGTATGTGGTCAATGGTTGCTTTAATTAAGTTGTTTTTAAGTCTGAGGAATAGATTAATATAATTGAGACACTGTTGTACTGAGGAACATTCTCACAGCATAACAATATTATGGGTGAACTTGTTAAGTTAGTTGTTAAAGCCTCGTTTCTCCGTGTCTGTGATTCTGTACATGCAGGAAGATGATAGAGTATGTTAAAATGTTGATGGGAAGTGCTAGAATGGTCTAAATATGGTTGATGTAAGTGGAAGTTGTCCACTTTCTTGTGAGCAGGTGAACGTAGTGATTTTGAGAGCAGTATAACAGTATTTTACGGCTGACTAAACAGCTGCAAAGCTGTATTTTTGTAGTACTAGAAGAAAATGGTTCCATTAATGCTTTTTATTTAGTAAGAGTAGTTATTTTTACTGAGAAATGAAAAAGCATTCACCGCCTACCTTGGTCGAGTTTATATATACTCCACATTTAGCTGTTAGGAAGACCTGTAGTAATGATGTATAATGAGTATAGAAGTACTAGGGTCTGTAGGTATCTAAGCAAAGTCCTACAAAATTGGGAACCTACTAAATTAAGCATGTGACAATTAAGCTATATGACATATTTGCTGCCTCACTGAATTAATGAACTAATAAAGAATGGTGAAAGAAATTGTTTTCCCATTGTTAGAGATGGGAATGGAGGCAGGGTGATTTGCTCAAGGTGTTATATGATGGCTGTAGCAGAGCTGTGAAACTGCACCTTGGTGGTCTGCGTCCCAGCTTAAGTCCCAGACTGGGGTCTTCTGTGGCACTGACTCCTGGAGGAAAATAAGGAAAGAAAAAGCATGCCCCACTCTGAAGATATCAGAATAATTAGAACTGAAGAGCTGCTTCCCAGCAGTAAGTCAACTGACTGTATTTACTTGACTGCTATACTTGGCAAATGTCCCTAAGTTACCCCATGTGTTCTTAAACATTGGATTGGAACACGGAATACAGGTTTGTCCTGGAATACATCCCTTACAAGTGTATGTTCCTTCAGATACCAAATGTCCAAGTAGTACACAATCAACTTCTTTATCATTGCTGTCTTACTAAAAAAAAGACCGCCTTACTTATTCAAGTATTTGTTTGGAAACGTTCAGTGTCTTTGTTCCATTTTTAGAGGTTTGGCCGGCTTTCTTCTCTTTCATGTCCTTCCATCTTCTCTTAGTTCCTTTCACAACCAATGCTTCCTGTTTACCAATGTTTTTTTCAGCTCGTAGTGTTTGGGGATGTTGTTCAAAAAACTATGAGAGTTATAAAGCATAGTTTGGAGAGACAAGCTCCATGTGGAGGATTAGGAGACATTCTGCTAAGCCATTTTATAGTATTTTCAAATGTACTTGGTATTATCTCGTGTCTACTTCTAGCACACAGGACAAAATCCAACTTTGATTTAATACCAGCCTATAGTGTAACTTGTAATGTCTTTGGAAATAGTAAGCCTATGAGTAGCATAATATGTTCTGAGAGAATTTTGGGGACCATGTTTGTAGGGTTGTCCTTTACGTGCCCTTGGGCAGCAATGTTATTCTGTCTGTTCGGCAAAAATACTGTGCTAGTGCACAGCTGTCCATAACAGACAGTTGTGTGCTGGAAAGGTTGTTATTACATAAATGTTCTTGAAACTGGTTTACAGTTATAATGTATGCAGAGGAGCTAAATTACTCCTACAGTTTTCTTTTCATCTGTCTTTTTTTGGTTTTGTTTTGTTCCAGATTCTACCCTCTGCTCCTTAAGTATAATGGCTACTAGCACAAAGTCTATCCTGTGCATACAATCACCCAGGAAAATAAGAAGATTGAAAGTATGTTCTTGGAGTATCGTGTATATACTGATGCAACTCTGCCTATTTTTATGATATGGAAATATATTGTCTGTCTTTGAGCAAAGCCACAGACTGGAAGATTCTGCAGAAGGACTCTATAAATAATTTCTGGCTTGCTTAGCTCTTAAGTTTCGACAGTCATTTCTGCCTTCCAGAAGATTTCTTACACACTGTAAGTCAAGTTCTACATTTTGGCATTTGCACTCAAAGACAGACCCAAGGCCTGCTGCTTCTGGAACCTAAAGCTACTTTTTATTTTTATAT